GGCGCCTGCCAAAGACATCATTACTGAGGAACCTTCTATTAAATAGATAGAGTAGATTTTGAAGATTATAAGGAAAAGTGATTATAAGATAGTAGAGCAGTTGGGGAAAACCCCCTCTAAGATTTCTATGTTATCTTTATTACTTTGTTCTGATACGCATGCTCAAGCCTTGATAAAATTTCTGAAGAAAGCTCATGTTTCTCAAGAGACTATAGTCGATCAGTTTGAAAATTGTGTAGTGAGTTTGACTTCCGATAATGGATTGGGATTCTCGGATACTGATTTAAATCCAGCAGAAAGAAATCATAACAAGGCTTTGCATGTATCCATTTAATACAAAGGAACCACTCTAGCCCATGTATTGGTGGATATTGGTTCCTCTTTAAATGTATTACCCAAGGATGCCCTAGATCGGTTGGATTGCGAGGGTTTAGTGTTGAAGCCAAGTGACATAGTGGTAAGGGTTTTCGATGGATCAAATAGGATGGTACATGGAGAGGTTGACCTCCCCATCAAAGTTGGTTCAAAAACTTTCAACTCGAATTTATATGTGATGGACATCCGTCCTGCCTACTCTTGCCTACTTGGACGCCCCTGGATACATGGGGCAGGAGCAGTGAGTTCTACACTTCATCAAAAGTTGAAATATTCGGTCAAGGGAAAGATTTTTATCGTCCTGGTGAAGAAGAGTTTATGGTTAGCCATATGAATTCATTTAAGTATGTTAAGATGGATGGTGAGTTCATAGAAACTCATTGTCAAGCCTTCGAAGTGGTTTCTCCCACGTTTTCTTCTGCCAAGGCTAATCCTGATGTTCCAAAAGCTGTTAAAGACGTGTCTAGGATGGCTTCCCTCAAAGATGCTCGTGCTGTGATTGAAGATGGAGGTTCTACCATTTGGGGGAACTCCCTGACATTCTGTTCGAGTCAGATAAGTGTGGGTTGGGTTTCACTGCCAAAGCTCAAAAGGAGGTCAGACGTGCTCGCACAGGAAAACCACCTCTTCGCATCAGTAATTATGAAGTGAATGCTCTTGAAGACTCTGAAAATGACTGTGATTTTGATGACTGGATCTACCCGACCGCCGATGAAAGACTCAATAACTATCGTGCCAAGGACTGCATTCTAATCTCCTTCAACAAGGAGTAATTACCATTTACTGTTTTATTAATTTAAGAACTATGTCTGTAATTTTACGGAAACAATGACTTTAATCCATGTGCCATACCCGGGGCACCTTGGTCCATTTGTTAAGGGTTTGTTCATTTTCATATGTCATATGATCATTTAATGAAAAAACATTGGACTCTTTTACATTCAAATTTTGCGCTCATTGTCTTTCTTTCACTTTATTGCATTTTCAAAAGAGCCATGTATCTTACATGCACACGCACACGCACACATTTGCAGATCCTCATCCACTCCAGATATCATTGACAACGATTCCACTATTTCCATCTATGACTTTGAACATCCAATCTACCAAGCCAAAGACGAATGAAAAGGGAATGTATTAGCACCTTTTCATCTATAGTTATCTACGGTCTCTTAATCACTAGCTCAATTTTTGAAAGTGCTTTGTGTTTGTGTGTTTTGAAAATATTTTGAAAAAATTCCTAAGTGCGAAAATTTTGTAATGATTCTCGTATCGTTGAGAATGCATACAAAATATTTATTTTGAAAATATTTCAGAAAATAAGTGTTTTGCGTGAAAAATGCTTTTGTTTGTGAGCAAGCGACTACGAGCTATCTACCTACTCATAAGTCTTTTGCGTTATTTTCCTTTTCCTTTAGATAGTGCTATCCTACCATTAGTTAGTAGGAAGCCCTATCGTTGGATGTTTGAGGGACATGCGCGAGTCATCGTACAGTCATAAAGGCAACTTGTAGGACGCTTTTAGAAATTTATCATAAGGGGTAAGATCATTTTCCAAGGCAACATCGAAGGGTCATCGAGGGACTACGATATTTTAACCGAGGGTATTTGCTAAATCGTCCCACGTTCGAGGGATATGACTGTTTTATCCGAAGGAAACAAGTGAGGTTACCCTAGAGGTGCATGTGTGAAAAGTGTTTTGATTTCAGTTAACTTTGATCTTTGATTAGGGTTAGCTATCGTTTGCTTTTAGTCTTTCCATACAAGCCTATTAGCATACATCTAGCAGTTATAAGGAAAGCGGTAAAGACAGAAAATAGATTTCCTACGCTATTATAAATCTTCGAGGACGGGGTACAAACCATAAAAAACAGGGGAAATAGAAAGCAAATAAAACCCTATTTAATCTATTACAACTCTTTAACAATTACATAATGATGAAAACTAATGTAAAAATAAAAGAGCGCGCGGAGATCGTAAAAATAAAGAAAGATATAAAAAAATGTCTTGATAAAAAATGATGATTTAATCTAACCTAATTGATTTTAATTGATAAAAGAAAGGAATTAAATTAAACCTAAAATAAAAACCCTAAATTATTTTTAATGAAAAATAACTTAATGATAAAACCTAAAGAAACTAATTTAATTAGTTCAATTAATTTATTTAAAAAAAGTTAATTTAATTTAATTAAAAAAAGTCATGTTGATTTAAAAAAAACTAAATCTAAATTAATTTTAATTAATTAATTAAAAAAAGTTAATTATATTAAAAAAAGAAATTGAAATAAACAAATAAAAAATGATGGGCCTGAATAAGTGATTCTGGGGGTATGAGAAAAGTAATTCACTAGGCCCAAACCAGGAGCCCATTTTCTGCATGAGATCCAGTGTAGGAAGCTCTTGAGGGTGCTGCGTGGGAATCAAATCTAGACTATTGGATCTGGATCGTATGGTGATGATTGAGGGGTGTATGATGCATGCATGGACTGATTCGTACTGGATCTGTAAGGAGAAAACATGAAAAATTAAAATACCAAGGGCAGGGATCGAACCCATGCCTTGGTATACTAACGCCTTTGCAAACACGCTCTTACCGCTGGGGCGGCCTTTACATCCGGTTATATAAATAAAAAAATAACAATAAATATACAAAATGACTATAATGGCCGGAGAAGCGTTGGAGCCCTAGCTTCGATCATCTTCTCCGGTAGCATCCTTCCTTAGAACTTGCTAAACACGTATGATTAATGATCCAAATACACTATACCCCCTAATCCAAGGGCTGTGAATCCAATGGAGGTATTTTCATGGAGTGAATCATGCTAGTTTGAGAGCTATAGTGAAAATATCTTAAATCAGTATTGAAATGGCTGTGCCCTTTCCAGCCATCATGGGACTCCCACGATGGGTCATTTCTGCACATTGACATCTTATGAACATATTAGTGTAGTTAGTTTGTCTTAAGATACAATAAAATACAAAATGCAAAATCATGTGATATTGAGAAACCAGAGATGCATGCTAGCGGATTTTGGGAGTTTTGGATCATCTAGTTTGATCCATACTTACTCTGTGGAGTTGCTAGAAGCAAAATGAATGGATATTTCGCAATGAGGAGGCTTGTAACAAGAACCTTGAAGCTCTAGGGTTTCTTACAAGAATTTGGATGGTTTTGACAATTTTAGATGCAAGGAGGGTGTTTTGATATGATCTTGTGTGTATATATAAGGGAAAGGAAATATGATAAATAAATATGGCAAGAAGACAATGCCATCATGGCCATGAGACAAGAAACCAACACATTTATAAACTTAAATTTTGATATTTTTCTTGCCCTTTTGAGCTCACACGGTTTCTCCAAGGCTATCATGAGTTATCTTGGGCCTGAATTGATCCAAGAAAACAAGCCCACTTGCCTTATAACATTGTCTCATATTTTATTTGTTTTAATTTGCATTTAAATGAATAAAAATTCAAATAAAAGAAATAAAAATCATAAAAAAATATGTGCATGTATTTAGAGGTCTTATAACACATTGTGAACATGTTTGAACATTAAAAGTTAGGTCCACTAGTTCAAAATTTCAAGTTTGCTCACTTTGCACTTCATACATTTCCTCAAAATTTCCCAACTTGCACTGGTCATAACTCTCTCAATTTTCATCTCTTGAAAGTGATCTATGACTTTTTGGAAAGCTCAAGATGTCTTCTACAATTTCTCTTATGATCATTTTTTCATTTGGAGACTTTATATTGATGTAAGTTGCCTTGATAAAAAATGTCTTTTTGTTGACTTTTGAAATGACATATAATGTATGGACTCATATCTCTCAAATGAAGCACTTTTTGGACTTGAGCATAGAGATTAAAAGTTGTAGAGAATTTAATTTCCTTCAAAATGGTCTTTGGTTGGGGAAAATTTGATGAAGCATGTGAAAGTTATGCTTGGTCAAAGTTCACTTGACTTCTCCTAAGGAAGCCCTAATTTGGAAACTTTTGACTTTTGGTGATTCGAGGTCTTTCCTTGAGGAATCATGATCAAACCTTGATCAAATGATGAATATCACTTCAATATGTTGATGTTGACCAAAAATCTTGAAGTTTGACTGTATGTTGACCATAGTTGACTTTTTACCCAATACAATTGATTTTCAATCATCTGAGCCACTGACTGAGAAAACTTGTGATGCAAGACTTGAAACTTGATATGAACATTGTTGAAGACCTATGGAGAACCATGGAAACCACTTGAGACCTTTTGAAACCAAACTTCTTTGAAAAAACAAAACCCTAGTTGTGGACCCATTGCTTAGGAGGAGAATTGACTGGTCAACGCTTGAGTAGCCTTGAGTACTTGAGAGCCTTAGAAGAATGTTTTTTGAAGAAAATGGGAGAGTAAATTTTGGGATACAACAACAAACCTATATTTCCATAAAAATTCTTGATTTATCAAATCTAAATGGGTAGAAGTATAAGTCTTTTGTCGCATCACCTACAACTGTAGAGACAACAGGTGATGTTCCAGAATTTAGGGCATCCAAATTTTTTGTTCAAGAAATACCCCCTCCACTATTCCCTCAAAGGATAAGAAAAACCAATGAAGATCAGTTGTTTGAGAAGTTTATGTTCATGAAGGATGAAGAATTTGATAAGGAAGGTGTCTTAAGAAGGCCTCCACCAAAGCCACCCGATGAAATGTGGTTGAACAAGTATGAAACACTAGATATGACCTCTTCCATGACATCTACACAGAAGATTCCACTTATGTCGCTTCTCGAGATTTTAGTATATTGTGTTATGAAGAATGAGCACGGGAAGGCCTTTGTGTTCTCCCTAAAACTAAAGAAAAAGATGCTGAAATCAAAGGATGTTATTGTCCAGAAGGAGACCTTTGTCATGCCTCATGAGGTTGAAGAAAGTTGTATGAAGGAAGTAGAGAAATTATGGAAGAAGAGAAAAAAAGTCTCAAAAATCTGGAATGAGGAAAACCAATAGGTTTATAGCCTGACAGGTATTTCTAAATTAACCTACCAACCATTTCATGATTGATTTTAATTTTATGTTCTTAGTTATTATCTTGTTCTGTCCTGCCATAACTCGTTAGGCTAATAGTGAGGAAATTGTTCTTGCTTTAAGTTTGGGGTGTGACACCTTTCTTTGTTGTTGTTTTATTTTAATTTCCTTTGAATTAATGACAAAAATTATTTTGTGTGTTTATGTATGTAAAAAAATTGAACAATATGATTTTAATACTCCCCCTCAAGAAGAACAACCTTAGGAAAAAACTAGAAGGAATTTTATTGGGTCTCTAACAATTCAGGAGACAAAGACTTAATGAGTATCTATTGCATAAAGCCTTTTGTTACTAATAACCCGGGTCGTGACTTTGGTAGTCCGGGAAGTAGGCAGCCTCTAAAAAAGATTGATTTGTTTTTTATTATGGAATAATAAGTTAGCTACAAAGTTTAGTTGGGGTGGTTAATACTTTTGTTATAAGGGCTGGAACACTCCAGGAACACTACATTAGCTTGAAAATAAACACACAAAAGTTTGTAAAAGAAGTTGCCAAAGATCACTTCTCAATATGTTCATGTGCCTACGTCTGGAGGAACATCTCTTGTGCCCGAAACTGAAAGAGCAAATAATTTTTTAAGTTCCTGTGCCCGAAACTGGAGGAACGGTAGATGTTCCCACCATTATTAACAAAATTAGACTCATTTCAAGTGAGATCATTTCAAGTGAAAAGGTGGGGGAATCTACAAACATTTTGAATAAATACAAGTGTGGTCCTAGGTGTAGGTTCAAAGAACAAAAAGTCAAAAACCCTACTAAAATTGAAAGCTAAGATGTTGGACAATAAGAAACGGATTTTTTTTTGAAATTAGGCTGGCTAATTTGACAGAAGAGCTCTGTAGTGACTTGGAGTATTGGTAATCTAAAGAACACACACACACAATTAAGATTGTGTCTCAGGACTGAGTGATTCCTATTTTGGGACAAGTCCCTTGAGAAGAATTCTGGATTTTGAGAAAGATTGGTTGTGTTAGAGGAAGGGTGGTTATTTGAAGATTGTTTTGTCTGTCTTTTCCTACCGCATCACCTGAGGACAAGTAATGATTCAAGTTTGGGGGTGCGATAACTCACTTTATGTGATATGTTTAATCCTTTTATACTTGAGTTTTAGGGTAATTTATATCTTTAGTATTGTCATTTATTTATGTTTTATGTTACTTTAGTTAGTTTAGGATAGAGCACACTAGGTGTTCTCTTTTGTCAATTTTATGTGTTTTGGTGCTTGTGCAGAATCAGCGTTAGAGACGAGTTCTATCACAACAGGAATTCTGGAACACCAATCAGCAAGCAACATTGATCTTGAACATTATGGTATGAGTTCTCAACTTCAGTTTAGATGCTGACATGGCAGAGATTTGAGAAGAAAGTAGGGATGAGTTGGAAGGAATGAATGGATAAGAATGAAATACTACAAGACAAAGGAGAAAATGAATGGATAAGAGTGCAAGACTACAAGACAAAACTCTGAAAAGTTGTTTTTAGTCTGCTGATACTGCTGCCACACTGCTGCTGCTGCAATTCTACCACACTATCATTTTGTCTCCCATGTGCAGTGTACTATCATTGTACAAGACAAAGTAATATGCTTTACTCTTTGGGTTTAAGTTAATGGATCATTTTAAAGGCCCAAGAACCAAAGAGAGATAATATGGAGCTGGAAATCCTCTATAAATAGAGCTGCAATGCAATGAAGTAGTAGGTTCAAAAACTTGGAAAGTTCTACCTAAGTGAAATTAAGGAGGAACCAACGTTCAGAAGACGTCGCTTGATGATTACAAGTGATTAAAGTGTCATTCTTAGATTTATCATTTCTATCTTCTTATTTAGGAATGTGTAGCTTAATATCTCTTTGTGTTGTGCTTATTATGCTCACTATGAGCTAAACCTTTTTGTAGTTGAGCAATGTGATGTTAATATCAAAGTGTTTTTATGTTATATGGTGTGTGATTAAGTGACTCGTTTTATTATATTTTAATTTGTTATAAGTCCATTTCTTTGTTTGTCCAACTTAGGAGTAAATGACATCTTTTTGTTGTGTTAGATCCAACAACAAGTGATTTTCTTAATAAAAGTAGTTGAACGAGTAGGATAAAGATATTAATTTACCTAGCTTATTTAGAGATAAGAAGCTACAACTATTAAAGATTTCAAAATACTAATAGATGCATATTAGGGTTACAATTGAGGCTTAGAGATTTGTTCCCTTTTCCTTGTATGCATGCTTTGATGTTGTAGAAATACACCACAAGACCACTCTAACCTTGCTTGTCACGACTCCACACAACATTAGCACATAAATGCACAAATGATATTAAGGGATCTATGCTCCACTCAATCACTCTTGATATATTTTCACTATCACCTTGCATTGTTTTAAGATATGTTTTAAGTGAATCTCTGAACATAACAACACCACATATTATTTCTCTCTTTGCTCATGTTTACTTTACAACTTCTTGTATGAAAATCATTATGCTTAATACAATCTTTGTGGGATCGATACTCTTTCTTATCATTTGCTACTAATTTGACCGTGTATACTTGCACGTATGTAAATTAACCCAACAGGAACTCGTGGATTTAATTTCCCATTGCGAGAAAGTGAAGAGCAAGCTGAAGAAGAACATAATAATAGTGATTTGGTTAGCCATCGTCTGGAGTCTTTGGTTGATGCGCAATACCGTAATTTTTAAAGGAGCGGTTTTCAACTTCAATTAGTGTTTTTCAGCGTTAGTTCTTAGATCGTAGACGTGGTTGTGTTCTTTTTGTAACATTGTTGATGGGTGTAATTTTTCTGTTTGGAATACTATACCTCTTATTTGCTTTAGATTGTATGGATTTTCCATGTTTTTTCGGATAGAGTATCCCTTATACTCCCGTTTATTGGATTTTTGTCAATTAATTTTTTTGACATGTTATAACAATCACCACTAAACTCCACATTGTTACTCCTCAAAATTACTCCATACACAAGTCTATTGTTTTCAAAGTTGAGGATGAACCTTGTCTCAAATTCATGTAATGCTTTGATCGAGGACTTGTATATTAGCTTACTAAGGGTTTATTTTAGCTTTGTCATATTGAAGCTGAAACTAGTTGGGATGGGAATTCATTACTTTTTTGCAGTTTGTAAATTTGGTTTTTGTCTACATCACTAAGTATATGTATATTTATTGAGGAGTTTTGTATATTATTAGAAATAATTTACTAGTAACCCATTCATTTTTGTCCACTAACGATGCTATTGTCTGCTAACGATGCTTGGAAATGAGGTGTTAAATGTTAAGATGTGGAATAAATTCACACTGTCAAAGGTGGCAGCGATCTTCACTTGGCCACTGATTCAGGATAGGATTGTGTTGAAGGATAACTTGTTCATAAGAGAAATTATTGATAAAGATGATATAAATTGCGTTGGAGGTTGTGGAGTGGAAGAGACATTGTCTCACTTATTTTTTGAATGTCCTATTTTTTCAAAAGTGTCAGTAGATTTATTGCGATAACTTGTAGTTAGTATTGTGTATCAAAATAATTGCAGTGAGCAACCAGTGACAGGTGTAAATGTCATCCAATATAAGTGTGATTCTGGATCACACCCTAATGTTCATTCGTTTACACGCTTTTAAGTTTCACTTTTTAAGTTACACCCATATATATATATATATATATATATATATATATATATATATATATATATAAATTCTCTAAAATATGTAGTAATTTTGGTATAAAATAGATATTTATAACAATAATTAAAGTTCGAGCTCGACACATACATAATTTCTCATGTGCCCATATGTCTGCACTTTTATTTGCATTAATGCGTGTAAAGTATACTTTTGATTTATATTCATGCCACACTCCTTTAACTTTTATTTAGTGATGCAAACTAAACAACGTATTGTAATGGGTGCATCTAAAACTTATCCATTTGGATGCACTTCTATAACTTTTACTATGTGATATCAAATGAGTAATATATGATAATTGTTGAAAAAATGAGTAATATATGATAATTGTTGAAAGTAATTTATATTCAGAAGTCGTTGTTATTCAGAAACAGTTGAGTTTCTGAGATTGTTAGTCAGAAACTGTAAGCTTCTGAGACTGCTTAGTTAGAAGCAGTAATTTGATGTAACTATAAGTTGTTATTAATCAGAAGCAGAAGCTTCTGAGGTTACGCTCAGAAGTATGCTTAACTTCTGAGATTCTGGAGCTGAGTTTGTTAGCGTAGTTTTTAAGTTTAGTATTTCCTAGTTTGTACCTTTTAACTTAGTCATTATGTTTACATTATATTAGGGCCTACGTGAAAGTTTACTTTTTGTATAAATAGACTAGTAGTAGCAATCATTTGTATCATTTCTTTTGTAAGCTTTATAGCAGTAAATATATTCTCTCTTACCTTTCTTCATTTATTAACCTTGTGTACCAATAAATTGGTATCTAGAGCTCCGGTTGGAATCCATGGGAAACACGAGTGAAACAATGAGGCGTTGTGTGATTGATTTTGGTTCTTGAATTCGTGTTGAATCTTAAACAAAATATGAACAAAATCTCATTTTCTAATTCTATGGGGTTGGGAAACACTGTGTTTGTGAGATCTGAGTGTTATGTACAAGGTCGAAGATGACCGAAATAGTAGTCTAAGCACCAAGCTTCCAGTATTTAATGACAAAAACTGGAATCGTTGGATGATTCAGATGCGTGTATTATTTGGCGCTCAGGATGCTCTTGAGCTTGTAACAAATGGTTATGTTCCAGTTGCAGCAGATGCGACGGAGAAACAAAGAAATACGCAGAGAGATACAAGGAAGAAAGATCAGAAGGCGTTGTTCTTCATCCATCAGTGTATGGATGAGAACATGTTTGAGAAAATTATTGATTCGATGACGGTGAAGGCTGCGTGGGACACACTAAGTAGGTGTTACGGTATTGACGCGTCAGTGAAGAAGGTGAAGCTTCAGTCTCTAAGAAAGAAATATGAGAATCTCAACATGAAGGACAACGAGAAGGTTTATGAACACATCTCCAGAGTGATTCTGATCACTAATAAGATGAAAGCTTGTGGAGAAGCCCTTTATGAATAAGTAATCATTGAGAAAATATTGAGGTCGCTTACTCTTCAATTTGATTACATTATTATAGTAATTGAACATTCTAAAGATCTGGACACCATGAGAATAGAAGAGTTGCAAAGTAGTCTAGAGGCGCAAGAGTTGCCTCTGACTAAAAGAACTTCTGAGAAGGAAGTTAAGCAGGCTCTAAAGGCTTCTTTTGTTAAGAATGACCAGAAGAATTCTTGGTCAGAAACCAAGAATAGACGTGGTGATAGATTCCAGAAGTCATAAGTCTTCTACAATGATGAGAAGAAACATCAGAAGGGAAATGAGAAGTATGACAAGAGAATGGTTTAATGTTACTGTTGTATAAGGTTTAGCCACTTTGATAAAGATTGTTGGTCAAACAAAGAAGAAGCAAAAAATAGTCAGAGGAGATTCTGATGATGAACATGTGATATTAATGGCTTATGAATCTGATGAGAAACATGTGAGATTGTCATTTTCTGATTCTGAAAGGGAAGAAGATGACTCTGAATATTTTGACTCTGAAGGAGTGTTTGAATATGAGTCAGAATCAGAAGATGACGTTGAAGATTCTGAAGATGAGTAAAAATCTGAGGTTTCTAAAGATGAGTCAGAGTTAGAAGATGACTCTGAAGCTGAAGACAAGTCAGAATCCGAAGGTGATTCTAAGTCTGAAGAAGAATCAGAAGATGAGTCAGAATCTGAAGAAGATTCTGCTTCTGAAGATGAGACAGAACTTGAAAGTTCTGAAGAAGAGCTAGAGTCAGAAGATGAATAATTTTCTAGAGACTCTAAAGATGAGTCAAATGGTGAATCTGATTCTGATTCAGATTTTGATGATGATCCAGAATATGGTAGTGATCATGCTTCTAGAAGAGAAACTCTGAAGATGTAGGTTCTGGAGGACAAGCTTTTAAAGATGATCATGTTTCCGGTGGTAATCATGACTCTGAAGGTGGACCTTCTAAAGGAGGAGCTTCTAAAGGTAGTCCAGCCTCTGACGGTGATCATGATTCTAAAAGTAGAACTTCTGAAGAAAGTCCAGAAGGAGATACTATTCTAGAATCAGAAGGGGGTTCTGAACAAGTCCAGAGGCCACAATGAATCAGAAAAATATCAAGGAGAATTGCATAGTTTGACAAGATGTAAGATACTTAAGGGACTCTGAGGTATGGGGTGTTGTTCCCTTATGGTGTTAAATTTGACTCAGAGCTGGTATGTTATTCAGACTCTGGTTAATATGGAGACAGAGTTAACAAAAAAAGTACTTCTGGATAAACTTTCAAGTATCTGAGAAGTCCCATTTCTTAGTGCTCCAAGAAGCAACTAGTGGTTGGTTGTCAACCTCTGAAGCTCTCAAGAAGAGAGTGTAGCTGAAGGCCGTGAAAGAAGAGTTTGATGCTATTGAAAGAAAAAAGACTTGAGAGTTGACTGAGCTTCTGAAGAAGAAGAAAAACACCAACGTCATATGGGGTTTCAAGGAGAAATCTGCATTTCTAAATGAAGTATTAGAAGTTGCACACTGTAGCAACCAGAAGCAACTTGCAGATGTTCTAACGAAGGATGTCAAAACTAAACACCTTATCCATTTGAGGGATAAAATTGGTGTTGTAGTTTTTTTTTTTCCGTTAGCTGAATATGAATTAAGGGATGGTGTTAGAAGTAACTCATATTCAGAAGCTGTTGTTATTCATAAGTAGTTGAGCTTCTGAGGTTGTTAGCCATAAGTTATAAGCTTTTGCGACTGCTTAGTTCGAAGCAATAGTTTGATGTAACCAGAAAAGCAGAAGCTTCTGAGGTTACGCCCAGAAGTATGCTTAACTTCTGGGATTCTGGAGCTGAGTTTGTTAGCGCACCTGTTAAGTTTATTATTTCCTAGTTTGTACATGTTAACTTAGTCATTAAGTTTACCTTTTATTAGAGTCTACGTGACAATTTACTTTTTGTATAAATAAACTAGTAGTAACAATCATTTGTATCATTCATTTTGTAAGCTTTATAGTCGCATTGCAGTAAATATATTATCTCTTACCTTTCCTTCATTTATTAACCTTGTGCATCAATGATAATGAATGTGTTCGAAATATAACTTTCGAACATTGCTCTAAAGTTATCTTTCATGTACACTTATTTAATTTTTATTGAGTAAGATCAAATGAACAATTGATGATAATTTTTAGACATAAGTATTTTAAAAAATTTATAGGATTTGTAAGAAATTTATAAGTTCAATAAAAATTAAAAAAAAAAAGGTTTGTATGATTTAAGACATTCACCAAAAGAAGAGAATGTTAGTTTTGTGATGAAATGTTTCTTTGGGAGTAAAATATAAGTGGGCTATTGGGTTGGAGCTTAATTTCAGTTTCATCTTTCATCTGTAACCTAGAGGCGCCGCAACTCAGAAAGCGAACAATGCAGCTGAGTTGAGAAGAAAAGTTGCACACATTGGTAAAAGAAGATCGATCATGTTTCTTCCTCATGAATTGATTATCCAAATCCTACTGAGGTTGCCGGTAAAGTCCCTCATACACTTCAAGTGTGTTTGTAAGTTGTGGTTTTCTCTTATCTCTCATGATACCCATTTTGCTAGTTTACATTTTCAACTTAACTCTACAACACACACGAGTAGAATTCTATTCTTATCAAATTCAACTCATGAAGCTCTATCCATCGATTTTGAAGCATCGCTTCACGACGACACTGCTTCTGTTTCACTCAACCTTCCAGAGGATTTTAGAGGTTTTGAAATTAGAGGGTCATGTAGAGGCTTCATACTTTTCTGCAGTTCCTTAAACATCTACCTGTGGAATCCATCCACTGGTATTCACAAACAAATACCTTTATCTCCTTTTGCTTCCAATTTAGATGCTGAATATTTCTATGGTTTTGGGTATGACGATTCAACAGATGATTACTTTGTTGTTTCAATGTCTCGTCATGATTCAGAAGAACCTCCATTACACTTGGAGTACTTCTCGTTAAAATCTAATACATGGAAGGAAGTTGAGGGCCCTCACTTCCCTTATAACTTCCAGGAGGATGACCCCAAATGTGGTTTGCTCTATAAGGGAGCTATTCATTGGTTGGGTTTTCGTTATGATTTACAAACTGATGTTATTCTTGCATTTGATTTAATCGAAAGGAAACTTTCATATATGCTTTTGCCCACTGATTCTGACGGTAGTCCTTTGGAGTGGGGTTTGTGGGTTTATGGAGAATTTCTCAGTGTATATACTAAGTATTACCCTAATGATATTGTTAAAATATGGGTGATGAAAGAATACAAAGTGAACTCCTCTTGGACTATGACTCTTGTTCTTCCTATTGATGTCTTTGTTCCATTGTTTGTACAATAAGTGATGATATTATTGGGACAGACGGTGAAGATGGATTGGTCAAGTACGATACAAGTGGACAATGTCTGGAGCAACATTCTTATCCTAATTACGATCTTAGCGGATTGACTATGTATATAGATTCTCTGCTTTCACTCCCTAGTGATGGTCACAACCAACAAGCTTAAGAAGATGACACAAGCAACAAGAATGAGGTTATCAAATATTCTGCCTCACTATTTTCTTGATATTTATTGAACTAGATTATAGCTCCTAAATGACTATGTATGTAGAGTCTTTGCAGTAATATGAGTAAGTGTGCCACATGTCATGAAATGTTTATTGGTTAACTATTTGTGATATGCTTATTGGTAACATTGACACCTTTGTTTCAGTAATTCACTGTTATTTATGTATGTAGCTGTATTTAGAATTTTTTACCAACATACTCCCCTTTTAACCAGAGTTATTAATTCCGGATAGCGGAGCGGAGCGGCCGACTCCCGGGAATGGGAAAAGTGGGAATAGCGGGATCCCGGATAGCGAGATAATTTTTGTATACTAATAATTATATAATAATCTATAAAACATATGTCATGTAATACTAAATTAATTTTACAACACATAAAATATTTATAAAATCTAATATCAAACCAAGAACAATGCTTAATCAAGATTCAAAACATAAAGATTCAAATTCAAACTTAGTACTATCATATGAAAATTCAAGCAAACATAGAAATCATGTAGCATCATCAAAATATTCCTCCAATTCTTCATTTTCTTGATATTCTTCCAATTCTTCATCTTCAACTTCTTTAAAATAGAAAGAAACGGTGTTTACAACAAAACAAAAATAGAAGAAGTAGAAGGTAGAAAGAAAAGAAGTAGAATAAGTTGAAGAATTAGAAGAAATTACATGAGATGACAGAAGGAGATGGAGGAAGAATCGAAGGAGAGTTGCAGGGAGATGGCGGCAGAATCGTAGAAGGAGAGTTGAAGAATTAGGGCACGATAAAACACAGCGAATGAGGGAGAAAGAAAACAAAAACTGTTTTAAAACAGAGGCATTTAAGTAATTTGGCCCAGAAAATTGTTTAAAAAAAAAAGAGAACCGGAGCCGCTCCGCCCGGGAACTTCCCGCTACACGGGAACGCGGCTGAAGCGGCCGCTTTTTCATCTCCGCTACCGCACCCTAAATAGCGCGCGAGGGGGGTGCCGCACCGCTATAGCGGTCAGAGCGCCCACTATTGACAACTCTGCTTTTAACAACTATACCCCAATATACCACACATTTCAACAAATATTCCCAATATACCATCTTTTCAAAAAAAAAAAAATTGATATTAGGAGGCGAATTTTTTATCAACATACCCTCTTTTTAGTCATTAAATCCCAATATACCATCTCACACATTCATATATCCCAATATACCCTCTTTTCAAACAAAACAAATTTTTGCCACAACTCATTCGCCAATACAATGGGCGGAGGAGTGTAGTTTTCTTGGTCTCCGCATCTGCATTGGGCGGATGCTTATAAAAAAAGAGAGGGTCCGCCCATTAGATGGCCGGATGTGTGCAAACGTGTTTTTTTTTTATCTCTAAATTAAATTCATATAATATACATTATAATTAAATAATATACATTATAAATTAAATTCATATAATTAAATAATATACAATATAAATTAAATTCATATAATTAAATAATATACAATATAAATTAAATTCATATAATTAAATAATATACATTATAAATTAAATTCATATAATTAAATAATATACATTATAAATTAAATTCATATAATTAAATAATATACATTATAAACTAAATTCATATAATTAAATAATGTACATCATAAATTAAATTCATATAATTAAATAATATACATCATAAATTAAATTCATATAATTAAATAATATATATTATAAATTAAATTCATATAATTAAATAATATACATTATAAATTAAATTCATATAATTAAATAATATACATTATAAATTAAATTCATATAATTAAATAATATACATCATATATTAAATTCATATAATTAAATAATATACATCATATATTAAATTCATATAATTAAATAATATACATCATAAATTAAATTCATATAATTAAATAATATACATCATAAATTAAATTCATATAATTAAATAATATACATCATAAATTAAATTCATATAATTAAATAATATACATCATAAATTAAATTCATATAATTAAATAATATACATCATAAATTAAATTCATATAATTAAATAATATACATCATAAATTAAATTCATATAATTAAATAATATATATCATAAATTAAATTCATATAATTAAATAATATACATTATAAATTAAATTCATATAATTAAATAATATATATCATAAATTAAATTCATATAAATAAATAATATACATTATAAATTAAATTCATATAATTAAATAATATACATTATAATTAAATGAAATACACTTTAATTAAATAAAATATACTATAAATAAACAAAAATTTAGCTAAAGGACATAAATTAATTTTTTGCATTTTAACATATATAATCTCCCCATCACATCTACTGTCGATTTTGACCGGGTCGTGTCAATCGTTGGTGAGTTCCACAAGCAGGTGCTCGTCTAGTACGTTGGCCTGTTCTGCGATTTCCTTCTTCATTTTGTGGTTGAGTTGAAGTTGAAGGTCCCGCGTCACACCCGCCCATTAAAAATTCCTCAATCATGTCCTCATTGGTAAAGTCTGTCTCGGCTGCACTGCCATAACTTAATCTGGTTCCCTCCCAATTCCAATTTGGTATGGGATTAGAAGACATTGGGCTATTTATTGAGGGTTGGTAACAATCTTGGGAGGTAAATTGTTGTGGTCGGGGAATAGGCATTTGTTGTTGGGGTGTTTGATAGTTGGGATTTTGTGGGGTTTGTTGGATGCCCCATTGGGTGGGGTTAGATGAAGGATATTGTTGTTGGGTGCCCCATTGGGTGGGGTTAGAGGAAGGATATTGTTGGTGGGTGCCCCAATGAGTGGTGTTAGATGAAGAGTTTTGTTGTTGGGTGCCCCATTGGGTGGGGTTAGAAGAAGGGTTTCGTTGATGGTATTGTTGGCTTGGGGTAAAAGGTGGTTGTGTTGGGAAGAAAGGTTGTGTTGGGAAGAAAGGTTGTGTCGGGAAGAAAGGTTCTTGGTTGCTCATGAATGGTTGTTGGGTGTAAGTGCTTGATGATGGTCTGGTGTGTTGGACGTTTGAAGATGTTGGGAAATTACGAGGGTCATACAAGAAGTTGTTTGGTGACAGATACAAATTTGTAACAGACTTATACCATTCCATGTATTCCTTACTTGGTTTACATTCTTCTGACATGACATCTCCTTGTAAGACTTTATTTTCGCGGTTATGCCATTGACGACGCTCCTGCTTGTAACAATCTTTCCAATTGCTATATGCCCATTGATCGTTCACCACACTTTTGTGATACTCCTCCATGCACTGTGGAGCATCCGGTATGCCTTGCTTAATGCCAAATTGAAGTTTTACCCGATCAGAATGGTGCATTTCAACAGTAGTAAAACATATGATAAATGTTTTTGCACTCCACACGTGACTATCGGCCGGATCGGTATCATCAAGTCCCAGATAGGGCCTCCATGTAAACTGTTAAAAAAATCAGTTATTAGTTTAACGAACCATATAAAATATGTAATACTTAAAATATGGTTAAGAATATTACATCAGATTCTTCGAAATGATCGATGAAAGTCCGATAGCCAGGTGCACAATGATGAGGAGTCTTTTCGTAATTCATCCAATAGGCAGACCATCTAAAAAAATGTAATAGTTAAATATTGTTCACATAATAAATAAGTTTAAGACAAAGGAGTAGTTACAACTTACTTGGTTGCGTACGGAAAATGAAAAGGATTACGATTCCTAGGCGCTAGATTCGGCATCCTGGACCATCCCCAAGCTTGTATTAGTGTTGAACAACCAGCAAAATTATGAATATCTTTTTTGGCGCATCTACAGAGGTTTCTGTATAGATGCGATAAAACTGCTGATCCCCAACTGTATCTACCTATTTTATTAAAGTCAGCTAGCAATGGTAAATACATTAGATGTATTGTGTTACCATTTGTGTCAGGAAATAATAAACAAGCGAATAACAATAAAATATAAATTCTAGTTTTTTTATGAATTTGTTCTATGGGGGAATCTTGGTTCAATTCAAATGCATCATATATTTCCCGGAGCCAAGTAATTTTGACGAATTGTCCCTTTCTAGCTCTTTCGGGCAATTCTTCACCCAAGAGTTCTTGAGTTATGGAGTAGTCAACATTTGTTCTCCCATTCACTGCCAAACCGTTTGCACGTAAACCCATCAACATGTGGACATCTTCAAGGGTGACTGTGGATTCACCGGTAGGAAGATGGAATGTGTGTGTCTCCGGACGCCATCTTTCACATAAAGCAAGAATAAATTTCCTATCCACCCCATATGACGTTATGTTGAGAACGTGCCAAAAGCCCGCTTGCATCAGATATGGACGGATCATTTCGTCTACGCGCACATATGAGTGTGTACGAGGCCTAAATTTTTTCTCATTCTAAAAAAAAAATAGTTAATATTAGAATATGGTTAATGTCAGAAGTATATGCTTAAAATTTAAAAAAATTTATACGTAAATATATTCAAGACTTACATATTGGAGGATGTTTGACAATGTTCTTCGGTGCTCCTCTCCATAAGTTAACAGAGACATTATAGAAAATTGAGATTGATGTAAAATTATGATGAGAAAGAATAGATAAAGATTGAGTATGATGTAAATTTTGAAAAAATGAGTAGTATTTATAGAGAAATAATGTAGGGTTTTTATTCAAAAAATTTAATGGAAACCATAAAATGGTTGGGAGTAATTACTCTGCATGCATGCTGTGTACGTAGACTGGTGCTGCATGCACAATTTTACAGAGTCCGCCTACTCAATGGGCGGAACCCTTTTAATTTTCTGACACGCCGCAGATACAATGGGCGGACATGTTACTTTTTGTTTGCCATCCGCGCTTTGAATGGGCGGAAGCGTGCAATTAGGCCTGCCAAGGACGCAGGAGCAATGGGCGGAGCCTGTAGGAACATCAATGCGTCCGCCTACTCATTAGGCGGAACCCTTTCACAATTTAATGG